TGGCTAAAAAAAAAAGTTACATTCAAATGTGAGTTTTTATCAGAGGTGTGCAGCTTTTGTTCGCTGCATCGGGGTTAGAGGCAAATGGATGTAAAAGCTTGCAGAGGAAATCAGCATGAAGGTCACTGATCTTTTCGCTGTCAGGACCTGTTCAGTGATACATCAGCATGCTGCTTCCTTTCATTTAATCACTGGGGATTATGAAAGCTGCAGCAAAACTCATCCAAGCAAAGTTTTTCAAACGAGACAAATCCAAATTTCCAACACAGCACAACGTCTCGGCACAATTATAACCATTAAGCGAAGAGAGTGAAAGGAGGTGACGTTTTTCCTACCTGCCATTTCAAAGCCGTACCTCGGAGGCTTCTCCCATAAGGTTGCTTTTATGTAATAGATCATGCTGTGTCTTTGGGGAAGGTTAAAGTAAAAGCACATTCATTTCCCTATAGATTGCAGGGGGAATTGAAGCCTTTTCAATCAATACAAACCAAATCAGTGTTGGTCAATAAAAATCAAAGGAATATGGCCTGCCAAGGTGTGTGAATTTGTTCCTGTGCGACAGGGGAGCCGCACGAGAGAGAGCAGAATGATGAATGCAAGTAAACAAGGCAGAGACACAGGTCTGGTGGTGCTCTTGTCAAACATCTATAATTTCTATTTCAAGCCTGCCTTTGCTTTCCCAAGTGAGTCACTCTCAGGCTGTATGCCACCGTGGCATTTCTTTTTACAGAACTGAAAGAAATATCTTTATTTGTGTCTTTTAGCGCCAGATAGAAGCAGAAACGTATTTGTGGTTGTGAGGAAAGAGGCTGTCTGTGCAGATGCTTATGATATTAAGCTGCTTGACTGACAAGCTAGCAATGATAAGAGTGTATTTTGGTTTCTGTGGGACCCTAACCAAAACACACAGGTCATAAATGTGGGGATGCTGGTGTTATGGTGGGGAACAGATCAGGCTTCCTGCATCTGGTTTTCATTGCAAAGAGGATGTGTGTTTTGGTTTAAATTTACACTAATTCCTTAGCTTTTCCTCAGACTCAAAAAAACATATATTTTTTATTACTTCACCATGGGATAGGTGCAATTAAATCATTAATTTCCTGATAATTCTGTCATGAATAAAAAAATATGCAATAAAAAGTCACAATTTTTAGTTTTCAGTTTTGATCAGACCCATAGCTCAAGATAGTTATATTCATTTCCAAGTCTAAAAAAATTATGTAAAAACTAAACAAAATAATAATAATCTGTCAGATTAAAAAAAAGAAAGAAAAAAAATCAAACACAAGGGTAAAGTTCCAAAAAAATTCATGTTGAGGAAGTGAACTCTGGCATCAATGATTACCAACATTTCCACCTAAGACAAAAGTAGTAAAGTCAAAGTCGCCAGCTCTAATTTGTGTTTATATAAGGAAGAGGTCTGGATTAATATGGTCTGAGTAGGAGAACAGTTGCTTGGAGACTTGTCAAACCGGCACCTTTTGGAACAACTGAAAAGCTCTCTGGGTCAAAGTCAAGTCTGTCTGTGCTTCAATGCAGAGGGAAAACACAAGGTGTGACATTCAAAACAATTTCTGCTCCACTTCTGACAAGCATCATTCCTCTTATGCTCACAGGTGCCAGCCCTCCTATTTCTCCAAACAACTGTCACCATAAAACTTCATTAGGGAATTGTGCAAGTTTCATTTTTCTCCACACAATCAATGTCTCACATGCGTCACTTGTGACAGTTAAAGTGCAATATAATAATGTGGATGTAAAAATGTTATTTCGATGCTATGATTATTCAGGCCACTCAAAATCTGTAAGTCTAACGAGTTAAATACAATTAATTTTCTCATAGTAATTCATTTCACTCCAAAAAGTCACTTTAAATTATTGCTACATATGTTGAGATGAGAAAGGATTTCAAAAGCTCAGACACAAAGAAATGTTGCCAATAAGCATCCATTTAATCTATTTTTGGTAAAAAGCTATTTTTGCATCGCAACATCCCGTCATCAACATAAAATATTCAAAGAGAGTGTCGTTTCATAAGTCGTGTCGTTATCCATAGATGGAAATGCTTTCCTGTTTAATTGACTTTTTCTCTTAAATAAGCACGTCTTAAAATAACTTACTTACTTTAAAAGCTGCATTAAAATGCCAAATATGATTTAGTCTGTTCTTACTTTTCTGTCTCTGAAATACAAAAAATGTTTGCTCTTTACAGTTCCACAGGGTTCATATCCATTTTTCCTGTCGGGTACAATAGCTCTGTGTGAAATCAATTATGCAGTGAGTGACATCTCTCTCCACGCTGACAGAAGCGGTCTGCTGTGATATTGCATTGTTTCCACCTTGCTGACTTTCTGACATCTTTGTGGGGGTTCAGGGTCGACAGAGGGAAGACCTCAGAAACCAGAGTGTCCCCAAGTGAGGCGCACAGCGGCGCGTTCTGCTTCATGCTTCGATGCCTTCTGCCACCGCCCAATGTTATTACACTGCCAACCCATCCAATTTTCAGGAGCTGTGAGGCACATGCAGCAGGAAGAAGTAGACAGGGATGCATGTACGCTGTCCTAACTTGTGTTAATTAAGTGACAGTCACAGATACCGTTTCCTGGAACAGAAAAGCTTCGTACGTCCTTTCTGAGTTCAAAGTGCACCAAAACCACAAAGAGCAAAGCAATATAGAGATCAAATCAATGCAGCTCTGTGGAAGAACAACACGGGGTAATGCACTTTGAAGATTGCAAACGCGAAACCGAATTAACTCTTAGGAATCAGGTGTGCCTCTCCTGCTTTGGGCTCCGAGGATCCGACCTTGTGTGGGAACCAGCTGCTTAGGCTCTCTATTCCCAGGCCAAGGAATACCAATCTTCTCTCAGGGGCCAGAAAAGAGCTTAAAGCAGGAAAAGGAAGCCAGAGCCTTAACATGAAACCTCTGCTACACCGCTTCCTCTCCTCACTTGTGTTTGTGTTGAGGATTATTACCTTAGCAGTGCAGAGCGCAGGTATTAAGGAACTAAATTCTGAGGAAAAAGACACTTCTTTAAAGTTTTTTTTTTTTTTTTTAGCTATTCTGTTGATATAAATACTAAATTTAAATAATAGATGGATAAACAGACTGCTTGATGACTGAATGGACAGATGATGGAGATGATGGATACTCAACATAAGGGTCGTTTTTCATTACATGTTCCTTCAATCCTTGCATAATATCAATGGGTTAGGTGTAAAGATAAGGTGTAGGTTTACCAATTAGACAGAATCAAGATTCCTTTTGAGAAAAAAAAAATGGAAGGACTCAAACTTTATCTTAAAGTTTTTCCATAATGGTTCGTGGACTTTCCACTACGAGCTACTTCCAGCAGTCAACACACCTTGTGCTGCTGCGTCACATGTGATGACTCTCACTCTCTGCAGAATATCTCAAGAATTCCCTACTTATTTGGCCAATCTATTTAAGATGCAAAACTTCCAGCTGCACTTTGAATGTTATTTGCTGCACCAGCCTGCGCGCTTCCTGCTGCTGCTCCTGCTGCTGCTTCTGACCCTCCACTACCCCAGCATCCCCCTTGGGCTCCGAGATCAGACAACTTCTCCTCACTTCCTGATATGCAAAAAACATTGTCAAGCAGAAAAGGGCTCGTCATCAAATATTGAGCAGCACGGCGTTTATGTGACAAGAACCTGGAAGCCGTTGGATGACAGATGTACTGAACGATTTACACGCGAGTTGTCTGAGTGAAATCACGTTTACGTAAAAATATAACAAACATTCCCACGGCTTGCGCAAGTTTCACTTTGAGAAATGATCAAAGGGCTTGATAGATGCAACTTTGACGCAGCGGCCGGACAACCACGGATTACAATTACACACCTGCACGCAAGGCAGTAGCTGATCCATGGTACGACAAATGATCCATGAGCCACTGGACGCTGCTGCTAAATGACTTGGAAAATAGTCCCAATTTATACTGCAGACACAAGAGATGAAGATAGAGGGAGAGAAAGGCGAAAGCACAAGGGAGCCAGGGGTTCACAGTCAAGTCAGGACAAGATTATTACTAATCTAAAAATGCATTTTCCATTCCAGCGTACCTTAATCCCAGCCTTACATGGGTAAATGTGGGAGTAATACAAATGTGTTGCCAGAGTGCCCACACATTTAAGCTTTTTACACTGAATCACTGTTAACTGTTGATACATTTTTCAATCATCACTTGAACTCAGAGCTAAACCTGCTGTAACAAGACGCCTTTTTTCCTCCTCAAAGAAATCAAAGAAGACGCTTCATGCTGAAATAGCAGCCTGGAGAGAGATGATTTCTGAGGAGCAGTGGGTTTGACTTGGGGGTTTCAAAGCAAAACAAAAGGAATGTAGGGTGGGGGAACGGGAAAGAAGGAGCAAGACAGAGACACAGGATGGGGGTGGGTGGATGATGTCTATGTTAAGCAACTAGCAGCAGCAGCAGCAGCAGCAAGGGAGCTGTATCCCCCTTAATTTCACAACCGTTTAAGCGTTACAGGACCTGTGTGAGGCCAGGTTGAACGGCACACTGGTGAAATTTTACACCATGGGAAAAATCGGCGACTCACGGCTCGCTCTGAGCTCTCAGCTCAGCGTAAATCTTTTCATAATTTTTTTTCTCCCTTTCATCCTGCTTATTATAAAAAAGGTTTCAATTTTCGTTTTTGTAAAAACATATGTGTAGAATAACCGCTCCTCTAGCAAGGAAGTAACAGATATCCGAAGCAGCAGAGTAATAAGAGTTCAAACCAGCCTTCAGTCATACATCACCATTCCTAAAAAGACCTTGGGCATGCTGAAAAAAAACAAGCTATACAGACTTAATGCCCAAATCAGACCCAGTGTGATGCGTATTCTTAATAAATATTCTCCTAGCAAAGGATTTTTCTATGACAAACTTCAGCTCTACATCATTTGACAAAAACATGCAGAGGAAAGGCTGCTGCTGCTGCTGCTGCTGGATCTATGCAAGCAGATTTACTCACCGAGACAGTTGTGCCCATCATGGGCCAAACGGAAACCGTCGTAGCATGTGCACCTGTAATTTCCTGGGATATTGATGCACTCATGGACACACCCTCCGTTGTACTCAGTCGCGCACTCATCGACATCTGCAGAGAAACAAAAAAACAAGAAATAAAGATGTGAACATGCTTACAGTTGAACTCAGTTATTCATACACCCCCAGATATGAATCTAAATGTTCATTCAAGTGTTTTTTTTTTTTTTTTACAAAATGAAACTCTCAAAAGATAACAGAACAGAAGTAGGAGCAAATTGCACAATTACCGCATATGTGTTTTAATGCATAAAAATGTCATGTTAAGCTGTATTATACCTTAACCTTTAATTTATTATGTTTATACTCAATAATCAATGAAAAATCTTTATTGGAATACATCAATGAAACATCTTTTAAGTGCCGACTAATTTTGCCTACTAGTATTTGAACGATTTATCTCTGGTGAAGAACTTCAGTGTCTTAGAAGTTGGATTGTTCCCCAATCGTCACCATCATATTTTGTTCCCTCCACAAATTCTCTATCAGATTCAAGTCAGGACTCTGGCTGAGCAAGTCTAAAACATTATTTACAATAGGTTAAATTAAAAGTCACTTTAAACCTTAAATCTACAAGGGGATGCATAATAAAATGAGTAATAAATAATAAAAATAAAGTGTTTAGAGAAGAGCAACATACAACTAACAAAAAAAAAGCTCAAATTCAATAAAAAACAACAAAAAAAGGAAAACTATTTGTGTCATTACTGTCATGCTCTGAGCAGTTCTTGACACTCAAATTTTATAATTGTGCCTTTAAAAATATGATTTAATGTTAAATGTAAGTTTCATGACATTTACTGCCTGATTTGAAGTTCAAAGATAAAAATGCAAGAAAATTTCAAACTAAAATTGCAAAGCAGAACTTTCACAGAAAGCAGCAAAACAGAAACTTGCAAAAGCTGATGCGTGAAAAAGCTGGAATACGTAGAAACTCAACTTTGCTTTATTGTGAGCAACTCCTTCATTTTATTCAGTCTCATTAAACAGTCAATAAATAATCTCTGGCTGTATTTTACCATCAATATATTTTTTTTAATGTTTGCAGTTTTAAGCGCGATGAGATTATGGAAATATGGAAATATGCACACAAAGGAAGCTGCACTGTAACAGGGAAACAGACTGACACTAAGCTCCAGCTAAGCTTTGATGTTTGCATCACTGAAACTGCAACTTGAAACAGTCAGCCAAAACTCACTTAAATACGTAGATTACTCCAATGCATCACAGAAGCTTTGCCGTATTAGTGACGTTGGTTAAATACAAACAGACATTGCTACATAAAAGCAGCTGGAAAAATAAAAGAAAAGCATTCCAACGTTTTAAATATCACTGACTGTTCAGTTGTGCTGTTCGCACTTTAGATCTCAACCACATATTTATCAACAGGGATACTCATTAGTGAAAATCTGCTACAGCTCCTTTAAAGAGCTGCAGTCTCAAAGAATCCGGGGACAAAATAATCTCTTGATTTACAAAGGATGGTTGAGTGTTTTTAAAGCTAAAGGACATAATGAAAGGTGTTTGGAAGCCCTTTCCATTATAATTCTGTTAGGAACATTCAGACCCTTTGTCTTCATTCGTGTCATAAAGAGACAGAGCAAGTTTTGATGTCATTTCCCAAACTAGATTTTACTAAGCACGGCACGCTATGTTTTCTGTTAATAGCACACTCCACATTTACCCTTGGTCAAGATGTGCAACAGCTTTCAAAACAAATCTGTCTTTTATTGCAGCAGCATAATTTCATACAAAAACATTAGCAGCCCAACTTCTAATTTACCATAAGTATAATTATTCACAGGGGAGAAAGGCCAGCATTAGGAAATAATTGGATTTTACAAAATGGTCAGTGTCACACTTATTTGTATCTCTAATAATTCCCATAAAAGTAATGTGACTGAGCATTTTTTTATACTTTATTTTTTTTAAGTTGATCAGAGTGTAAAGGACCTTTTGATTAGTAACATATGACTTCATCTTTGAAAGGGAAGATGAACCAGATATGTATATACTTAAGCTAATGGTCACTAGGTTGATTCAGGACCTTTCATTTATCATGCAAATATGCACAATGGTGGTAAGAAAGGTAAAAGAAAATATCCCAAACTTTGTGTTGGAGAACTGCAGCACACACTGCCTTCTTGGAGTCAACAAATCCTCATTAAAACCATTACAACTATCAAAATGCCAACCAGGTGTTCAGACCTGAGACCTGACAAAACATACTTTCTGCTCTACCATCACAAATGAAAATGTGTGGCATTTGCCAAAACGCTGTGGTGACTTTCAATAGAAATAAATTCTTTGTTGAAGTGAGACTAAAACCAAGCTTGATTGTGACAATCCATCCACATTGGTTTTGACGCGAATCCAAGATTACAACATCCAGAAGCATCTCATGCTCACTGTTAACTGTGGCGAAGAATCTGTGATGCTACGGGTGGAGGAACTTATCAACGCCCAGTAAACCTCATGGCATTATGAAGTCTGACAAATCAGGTCATTAAAAGTAATGTTGTGGCCAAAAGACTGAAAATAGTTTGTCAAACATGTCAGGAGGCTACTAATCTAAAACATAAAGCCAAATCAATTCAGAACTGGTCAAAATAACCAAGTAGAGGAGAGATTATATGTTTCAATATAAATGTTTTACAGTCTGTTTTACACACATTTTAACTGTACAGTTTTACAGTTAAAATGTGTGAATACTGAACAGTTAAAACAGTTGCAACTCCCTATTTTTGCAGTTCACATATCAAATATACTTTAATATTCATTAACAAGCACAGGGGAAACCATCTTAGAATTACAGAAGCTGACATCTACAGTCTTTGTAATTTCTGTTACTGGGGATACAGCCAATCAGTGCCAAAGTAAAAAAAAAAAAAAACGAATTGGGGATTAATTGCCTTGCAAACGCCAGCCATGATGGTGTCAAGTAGCATTGCACCTATAGTTACTTCAGCATTCCAAGATGAATGTTCCTATGTTCTATGACAAAATCCACAAATAGGCAAGTTTTCTGCAATAAATTGAAGTTAAATTATGCAGGAAAAAACTGTATTATCCAAACAAGGCTGTCCAAAGTATTAACAAGATTGGTGTAAAAATTGCTAATTTTGTAAAAACACTTCAAGACTTTGTGTTCTTGCCATTGACATGTTCCGTTTCTGTATTCGTTTTGTCCTCTTTTTTTCAGCATTGTATATCTTTCTTTGTTTTACTTGTTCTTGAAAAGGTTAAAAATGACTAAAAAATAGAAATAAATAAATAAACACATATTAGCATGACTAAATATACTTAAAGGTCATATTTTTTCTAAAATGTTCAAAATCAGGTTATATTACTTTACTGAAAGACAAATTTGCACATGACTACCTGCTGTGCAAAACAACATGTAAAATGTTAACTAATCATCTTAGTTAAATTAAAGTAGTGAGCAGACAACAAGTTGTCAGCACTTTGCTGATTTGCTACACCGTTTTATTCAGAGCCATTCATTTTGCATTGAGACAGTATTATTCCAGATGTAAAACTCCAGGAGTCCATACAAATCATCACTCAGCTGGGAAATGTCTAAACTATGAACCTCCAACACAAGATGACTGATTTTAGTGAGAACAAAAAAAAATACATTATGTTGCTCCAAAATGCTATTTCAAGTTTTATACTGTTAAAAGATTTCTAATTTTAAATGTTGAATGATTACATTAAAATGCATTCCTTACAATTCTAAAAAAGTATAAATTTCCCCGTTTTGCTCCCAACCTCCCTAACGAGAACTTCAGAGGAGCAACAAGCTGACGCAAAAAGCTGATTCACCTGCTACTGATGTAACTTGGACACCCGCCACCATTTTTCTGACTTTTATTGTTCAGCTTTAAAAGCCTAACTCTGACAGCCAAGGTTTTATTTTATATTTAATGCCCTAAAGTTTTGACCAAATTCATGCCAAGACATCCCCTTTTCACCTCCCCTTGGAATTTTATTACAGGCAGCATTCTACAAGTATCAACAGCGTTTTTCTAAACACGGGACATTAAAAACCTCTACCATTAAGCAGAGAACAAAGTCAGTGGCAAAATATGCAGCTAGTCATACAAAACATATTTCTGGCTAGGACACTAAAGAGACGGAGCTATTAAAGTAAACAAAATGATTTCACAAGCATGTATGCAGTCAGAAAGGAATCTGGAATGAAATTAGTCTTTGCTTTGTTTTTAATGATGACATTACGGACGAACTATAAATCACCGATAAACTGGAAATATAGGCAGTTGGATGAGATTGAGTGGTTGAAACTGGAAGAAATGGCACATTAAAGAAAAAAATGAGACGGAGAGATGGGAAGATAGGAGACTGTTATGACAACATAAGTGGAGTTATGATTGGTGTTGAGAGGCCTGTATGGGAGCCCAAACAAGGTGGACTGAGAACATAAAATAACTCCATTTAACACAAGGTAGTCCACAGAAAACAGGTCATTCCTGCTGTTAATCCCCTCTTAGAGGACATTTCTCTGAGGGTTTAGATTAATTTGTTGGTTAAATCATTGCAAGTGTTCCCATTTTACAGCATCATGTTGAGGTTACTTCACGTTTCTTTTTCAATCACCATTGTCAGTTTTGTCTGCTTAAAATGAGTAAAATCCAAATGCTATAAATAGGTGGCGTACAAAGGCAGCATTCAGCCCTTTCTGCTCCACCAAACAAGGTTTCCAGATTTTATTGGAAGAGTTATTTTCTAACATTTCAAGCTTGGTTTAGTTTATGTTGTCCTGCTGGAAAGCAAAGTAGCACATTTTTGGGGTCCTGACCACACAGAAAATCCTTTAATAAATAATCTGTACTTTGCTGAGCATTCCCAAACCCTGGTCCATCTTTCTGTTGCCATCGGAGAAAGAAAACTTACAAACATTATGATTCTGTCATCGCCGTGCTCTCATATGTGGAATTTCTTTACGCAGCCGACGAGTGACGGGTTGTGCAGCGCCCCAGGTTTCTGCACATGTGCTACCAACATACAGTGTTGTGTTCATCCGCCTTGAACTTTGCCATAAACCACAGAGTATATCATTAGGACTTTATGTGCTAGACTAACACGGAGCAGTGTATAACTGTTAATGGAAGAAACATGATACACGCTTTTAATGCTTTTTCACAAATAAAAACCTTCAGAAGTCACCAAGTTAGAAAGTAGAGTCCAGCTGAGTGTTATTTAATATCAGTATAAATACATCTGTTCTGTATTTATGGTGAGATTAAGGCTCCATAGCCCATAACTTTGCCTCGGAGATTTGTTAGAGAGCATTAAGGGAAGAACAGCATTATGATGACCAAAGAACACACCAGACAAGTCAAGAATTATTATGTGGAAAAGTTATGGAAACCTAGCCATGCTGTTAAGTTCAAACCTTTAATATTACTCAGGGGGAAATGTGATTTAAGACAGTAGATATATATATCTATATATATATATATATATATATATATATACAGAGACAACAGAGAGCCAGAGCTACAGTCGAATGGGTTAGACCGAAACATCTTCTTGTGTTAAAAGTCAAGAGATAAATTCAACCACGAATCTCTGAGAAGACTTCAGAAATGATGTACATAGTCACTCTTCATACAGTCTTACTGATCTTGAGCTATTTTGCAAAGAAGAATAAGCAAAAAGTTGTCTCTAAATCCTAAAAATACATGTCCCAAAATACTTTGGAAACCAAAGGTATTGGCTAAGTACAAAGTACAAACACATGCCGTATGTTTGAGATTTCCATGTATGACAAGGACTTAAAAGCTATTATTTTCCTTCCACATCAAAAAACAAAACAACAACAAAAAAAAAAAAACTGTGCATCTTCTTTATATTGTTGCATGGCTCACCTCAGCAGAACAATCAAAACTTGTTGTGAAAGGTGATTCTGCTGTCAGCCAAAAAGGGTTCTTTTATAAGTTGTACCAAGATTTGATGCAACACTTTGATATGTTCTAATTTGATGAATGTTGCTTTTAAATGTTGTTTCTCGCGTCCTTAAGAAGCTCAACTACCCTACACTTCAATGGAAACTGAAATATTTTACAACAGACTCAATAAAACAAACTTTTACAACCCAAGGCGCAAGGCCATGAAACGTACCCAGTCGAATACATGAAAGAATAATGCTGGTTTAAAACAAACAGTATTGTGAAATATGGTTTTTATAAAGGCAGTAATAAAAATGGTTGGATATAATGATCTGAGGGCTTTGAGCACATTAAAAGAGGCTACAAAAACAAACTTGTTTTAGGCTGAAAGTCCTGCCGCTGGCAGCGCAAATATCCCCGGCAGCTTGGCAGGGCCTCCGACTGCCGTTTTCAGCCGCTATCTTAATTTTCTCCTCAAACATGTGTAGGAAATTTACTGCTTCATTTCACCTTGTCACAAAGGAGCACTCTGCACCTGGCTTCCACTTTCCTCCGGTTGTAGCTTTCTTGGTTGGTCCTCCTCCCTCGTTGGGGAAATTGCGAAGCTAATGAGTTATTTCAGCTGAGACAGAACCTCTTATCAAGCCTGTCACTGGACCTTAAAAGCGTATATAAAGCTGTGCAGGGCAATGCATCGCAGTGCTCTCAACACGCCTCGCAGGCTTGCACAGAGGGTTGCAGTGGTTTAAATCTCACACATCAGGCACTGTGGGACTTACCTTCACAGTGTTTGCCATCACCTTTGTAGCCAGACTTGCAAATGCATTTGTAAGACTTTGGGGTGTTCTGACAGATGGCATCGATGCTGCAGTTGTCTAGAGCCTCTGCACATTCGTCCACATCTAGGAAAGAGCAGGGAGAAAGGGCAGTAAGGAAGCTGCTACAGAAACCCCCCGATGGGGGCTGGGTCCAGTAGCTTTTTTTTTTTTTTTTTTTTCCGTCAGCGTTTGAAGATAAAGCACATCCTGGAAGATGGAGAATCAACAAAAACAACATTCAATAGACATAAATCTGCTGCGTGCGCTTTATCTCTGAATTGATTTCCCCGATTTTTAGTCAAACAAAATCCTACTTCTGAAATTTAGATCTTCTTCAGGTTCTTGTCTAAAAAAAAAAAAAAAAAAAAAAGAAAAAAAGAATGTATAAACCCGCCAGCTACTTAGTTCTGAAGCTGAAAAAGTATTAATTGGAATTGGAGTGAAGATTAGGCTCCTGTCCAAAAACGGTCTACCTCTCTCAAGAGGCACCATGTCAGTGAATGTTTCCAGCATGTCATCATGGTGTCATAAGGTAGATTAACCCTGTCTAATCAGTGTGACAGCAGCTCAAATAAGCAGAGGGGGACGATTTTGCACAGTAATGCAATTTCTTGTCTCAAATTGAAACTTCTTGATCAATTCGATGACTTTTGGCTCCGGAGTAAAAGCCACCATATGCAGAACTGAAACCTCCTCAGTGAGGATATAATGGAAGCTGAATACTTATGTACAAATGAAAACTGAGAAAAAAAACAACTCTTTACATCCTCATATTATAGCTATGGGCTGTTACAGATTCCCATGGTTTTGTAACCTTGAATAAAAAAAAAAAAAACTACAGCATCTACAGCACTCAAAATATTAAAACAAATTTATATCGAATTGCTTTTATTGTAAAGAAACTCAGAAATTATTGCAACTTTTTTTGTTTTCATTAAAAAGACTGAAGTTGGACTGATATTTATAGAGTAAGACAAATATAACAAACTGATATTAGCTGGTTAGTCTGTTCTGGACGTGAGCTTGGATTCATCTGCCTAACAAATATCAGCTTTTCAGTTGCAGCATTAAAACTGAAGCTCGCTCTTTATTTCTCAGTCAGAGTCAACAATGTTTCATGTCAGTTTGAAAACACTCTTATAACACAAAAAGATTTGGACACTCCAACTCCGACAACTCTATAACTAAAACATCTAGGACCAATTGTAATCAAAGTTTAATGGAAAACTGCATATTTTATTGCATTTTCAGATGCATAAAGTGTTTATGCATCTGAAAAGATTCATGTAGCACCTCTGAAAGTAAATCAATTGTTTCTACTCACTTAATTTTTTTCAGGAATTTCATGGAGCCAACACTAACCTACTTATCAGCTCATGCATTCCTGTTGACTAATGGATAACAATTAAAAATCATTTTTAATACTATAATTGGCCAGCAGTCTGGGATACATTTCCTTCACTACAATCTTTTATCAAAGACGAATGTTAAATCCATAACTACCCGGAAAGAAAGCATGAGTAGATTATTTTAGCCAAAATCCCAAAGTTGCTCTGGAGAAAAAGAAAATGTTATTAAAACCCTGGACTAATTTGAAATGACAAAAAAGTGAATATAAACAGACAAGAATGGAAATAGGTTTAACCAGAAGCAAGATCAGGTTTGCCTCCACAGAGCTCCTAATCCCCCAGAATCCCAGTTAACTAGCCCAGGTGTTTGGGATTACCCCCCCTGCACACAGGGGAAGAATGGCCTAATAAGGTTTACATAGCTCTCAAAATTCACTCTTATCACAAACCCTTTGCAGGAGTTTCCTGAGCCCAATGGGAAATGACCTACAGCCTAAACCTGTGGGCTTAGCGTATCAGCTACATGGGCCTATTTCTGCACATAAAGCCTGCAGGCGGCGAGGGGAAATGACAAAAACGCAGCAGAATGTCAAGACTTTTTGGAGCTCATGTCAGTGTGTTGATATATCATCACTGACCGCCAATGTCAAAGATTTATATATTCAATTTAATATCCAACTCTCACCAACAGCACAACATCTAACTCCAAGAAAATTTTGTACGCATCAGCCAGTAAATGCAATACGGTTTATCAAATGTATTTTAAATTCTTTACCATGACTTTTTGACCACATTCGTTTAAACGACAGCGCACCAAACAAGACTGCTTTGGAGAGCTACCAGAGGTGACTAAACACGGCGTTTTTATGAGTACAGGATGTTCCTGCTAAAGGGTGTAACTGTACATGTATTCATAGCCAAGGTTTTCACTATGGACCTTTCGGTTCGGCATGAATGTGCACCAAAATGATGCTGGGCTTTTTTTTTTTTTTAAACCTACACACGCTTCAAATTTGTAAGCTCTGTGTTCAGTCACACAACTGCAAAGGGAAGAGGCACCACCACATAGGAGCAAAAAAAAAAAAAAAAAATCACAGACAGTCCAGAGTCTGAGGAGCCCACAAAATTGTGATCTCATCCAATCGAGCGTTTGCAGTTAGTAACAAGTCTTTTACATTGATGTGGACAAATTTTGAACAACTCTAGTTTGAATGATTGTTTTCATTCAGCCACAGTGGAGCGATCTCGAGGATGAACATCCTCTTTAGGGTCGTGCCACAACTCCTCAATTGGGTTCAAGTCTTTACTAGGCCTTTCGAAAGCCTTTCGTTTCTTGAACTAGCGGTGGCTTTGCTTAAATGTTTGGTATAAATGATTTGTTCTATATTAAATGGCAACAGGAACGTGGTATAAAGCAGTGGTCCCTAAACCTGGATCTCCGGGGCCCAATATGCTCTGCTAGAGGCTTTGGCTTCATTTTCCAAAGTAATCCGGAGAGAGGTATCAACTTCTTTTTCGTCTTGTTTTTCACTTGTTAACCTTAGAACATTTCATTTAACAATCACAAGAGAAAAATCCCTGTTTTCCGAACTGTGGAAATTACATTTTATAAAAAAAAATAAAACATACAAATAAAGCCAGGTACAAAAAAAAATAAATAAATACTTTTCAACTCCATGTGCAAATTAAGAGACTTCATGGCTTTAGAATAAATAGGCCTTTCTCTAGTTCCATCAGAAGCTTTATAGATCTGCCTTTTACAGCATTAATCTAGGGAAAGTTTTGTTTTATGGCCATGTTAAAAGTTTTCATTGCAATACAGTGAGGGAGCCACAGGGAGGAATTAGGGAGAAAACCATGTGCAGTTTCCTAATAAGATCTTAGACTGAACCGAGATGCAGAAGTTGGTGTTACTCAATAACCCTAAATTAAACTAAACTACAACAGGTACAGAAATAAATCTAATATTTTATAAATAAATAGAGTATTACCATATCTAAAAGATTCCCCCTACCCCCCCAAACAAATGTGGTTCAGTTATGTAGAGTACATCTTTCACCATTTCTCAGAACACATGGTGTCTGCATGGTTAATGCCATATCTCTATGGTATTATCTCTTTTATCATTCTAACCTTGGAAAAGGGTGCATACAGAAGTTAACCATTTGTTTTCTTTTGTCTCTACAATGAAATCCAACCTGACACCGTACAGCGGTGGATCTAAAGTGTTTTCCAATAATGATTTGTGAGTTTATGGTGTATTGTAGTATGTAGCACCGTTTCTGAGTAGGTGGCACATATTTTGCAATTTTCCACAGCTTGTTGCAGGACCTTTGTCAACCTCACATTGATTATTATGGAAGAGGGATATTAGCCCTTTAGCTTGGCTCTTCTGTCCCATCTCATGTCTTCTAGGCTATGAGCAGGGGCACACGGGGTGAGGAAGTATTTTTTTATTTTTTTAATAGAAGAGGTATTAATCACAGCAACATATCTGTCTTACTGTCAGGGTTCTTGGTGCCAAATCTCTGTGGTGAGATTCATTGTTGCGGAAACTGAAAGAATTTGTCTTTTCATCGTGTTATTAATGTTCCCCTCTGGAGAACTTGTTCACTTTATCTTTCTGGTCTGCAAGGACCACTCACATGTTCAAATGCATTCAAAATCTGAATTTGGCATAAAAATTTAGCAGAAGATGGATGAAGGACTCACCTGGAGAGCAGTCTCATTTTTCAGAATGAATACTGCAATGATCGCATAAATATCACAAACTGACAAACACGGACTGTTGTGTATTCAGAACATCCCTCTCCTTCTCTGTTTAAAATTCTAATCGTGTTTGATGCTTTTATTGCCTGTTGGCTGCAAAATAACAGCTCTGCGCTTCAGCTTATAAGAGTTTGGGATGTTATATAACTTCTGTGTTGATGCTTGGCATCACAGAAATTGGAGATAGCAGACAGCAGTCTGTAGCCCATGTAGGGCATTAAATAATACAGCTTCTGTGTTTGCCAACACCACCTGAGCTAGTAAAATCACGCAGCTAACCTTTAATTTATGATTCCTCAGTTCCTAAGAGTTGAAGTGTCTATTTCCAGGACTCAAGAAATAAAACATGGAGTCAACACTAAAACTTATTCGTTCATAACACAAACAACGCAGGCGGATGGAAGACAGGCACACTAACTACGAAGATAATTCAAATTACCCAAACACGCATTTTTGTTTCAGTGTGGAAGAAAACAGAACTGAAAACACACTTCCACTGAGAAGGAAGGAAAACTCAGCATAGAGATATGAACTTTAGACAGTTTAGTTACGCGGTTACATTGCTAACCAGTATTTCACAGTGCAACCATGCTGTAAATCCCTGTTTCTAAAACTGCAGGAGCTTAAAACTAAATATACGGTGCTGTAAAAAGATATTTGCCAGCTCGCAGGTTTTTTTTCTGCTTTTGCCTTTTTTTTTCCTTACACTTGCATGTTTTAGATCATCAAATTACTTTTAATATCATATTACATCAACTTTGTTCATAAAGCACTTCGGAAACTAAATGCTGCACATAACTGCATACATTAAAAAGAAAAACATATATAACAAATATAGTATGACTGACAAAAATGAAGTGCAATAAAACAAAACAAAACATGAAAGAACAAATAAGGCCAAACTGTTACTGATGTTGGAAGCTGAACAATAAAAATAGATCTTTAGACAAGTTTTAAAAGCAGGCT